CCACGAAGATGCTCAGAGGGCTGGAGCAACTCTGCTATGGGGACAGGCTGAGAGAGTTGGGCTTGTTCAGCTTGGAGAAGAGAAGGCTCCAAGGAGAGCTTATAGAACCTTCCAGTACCTGAAGGGGCTACAAGAAAGCTGGGAGGGGACTACAAGGACTACAAGGACTACAAGGGCCTGTAGTGACAGGACAAGGGGTAACGGGTTTAAATTGAAAGTGGGGAGATTTAGATTAGATATCAGGAAGAAGTTCTTCCCAGAGAGGGTGGTGAGGCACTGGAACGGGTTGCCCAGAGAAGCTGTGGATGCCCCATCCCTGGAAGTGTTCAGGGCCAGGCTGGATGAGGCTTTGAGCAACCTGGTCTAGTGGAAGGTGTCCCTGCCCATGGCAGGGGGGTTTGAACTAGGTGGTCTTTAAGGTCCCTTCCAACCCAAACCAGCCATTCTATGATTCTGTGATTCTAAAATCATACAAACAGCCGCATGTGGAATTCTTTTTCAGTATCTTTAACCTTGTATGTTATCCGTCGTGAGAGCAGCATAGAAAAGGTCTGAGGTATGAGTAGCCTTTCTCAGTCAGCAGGATTTGGCCATGAAGAAGGGAATATCAGTTCTGGCTTCCTTTCTCTGGCATTGCCCTCTGTTCTTTTCCAGTGTTCTGTTTCTGTATTATACTCATCAATGAATTTTTAGCCCTAATTTAGGATTGCTGAAGTGAACCAAGACCGCCAGTGCTGTCTTTCCCCAAAGTAAAGATGTTCATTATTTGAAAAATGCAAGATATGGAGGCTTGTTATATTACTTACCTTAAAACCAAGCAAACCAAAAGAACTCCACTCCAATCTTTTGGTTCCAGTATCAGCTGGATTTGGTTATTCTTTTACAAATTTCCTCTCACATGCAGATAGGGAAGAATCTGTAGAGTATAAATATTTTTGTTCTAAGTTATACTTCTTACTTTCTCTTTTTCCTAGGAGAAATGAACAGTTATTAGATAATGCTTAAACGTAAATACTCACAAGTGTAATCCCATTAATGAGTATCAGGATATTGATTCTGAAAATATGACCATTTCTAAAGCTACTATTTTCCCTTTAAATTTAAAACCAGGCATTTTTCTGCAGTTTCTTAAATTTCTAAAGTTATTTAAATTCCTTAAATGTCAAAACTGTACTGCAATACCTGACTGCCCATTTTTTTCCTTTAGGCTGTGTTTCTGAGCTCATTCCCATCAGTGTACTCTGAACTTTTGAAGCTCTTTGATGTAAGAGAAGTGGCAAATTTGGTTCACGATGCTCTGGGTAGCTTGCCAACCGTCATGCATGGAGATGAGTCCCTTCAAGCTGTTAAACTGCAGAGTATTGGGAAAACTGTAGAGAGTCACTTGTACACTAACCCAGGTAAGGTTACCCTGGGCTGTCTGCAGATAAGGAACTCCCAGTTGTGTGCTTGGTACTCAGGCCAGCAAGTGCTAATAGGAATAGTGTTGCTCAGAGCAGAATTGTTCCTTAGGAACAGTTCTTGAAGCACTGCTCTATACAAGCTGCTCACTTACAAGAATACAGTTGGTTAAATTCAGTGGTTTGGTTTTTAGAGACAAAGATTCTTAAAACACGTGTTTTTTTTGATCTACTGCTTACAATATGTCTGTGAAGGGTGTTTGTCTTATACTTTTTAAGTAATTATAAAAAAAAAAGCATTAATTTTTTTTTTTTCTTTTTTTGTCCTTTGGGGTCAGTTCAGCAAACAGATTGTCACATCATTAGCTCTTATTTTTTATAACACTTGCTGGTTCAGCACTTTCGATCCTGCATTTCTTAATGTAGCATAAAAAAGGCTTTACAAATGCAAGTGATACTTTATGCATCAAGTTTGTAACACCCTAGTTATTGGCTATGTGGAAGAAAACACTTCTGTGTGGTGGGGAGCCTGACATTGTTGTTTTTCTATTCTAAGTGAAACCCATAGACGTGACCAAATATTGAATTTGAGATGGACTAATTTTGTAATAAAAGGGTTCAAATAGAAGAGATTTAAAGAATACTAATAAGTGTTAATTCACTTACTGAAAGCCCCCTTGAGAGCTGTTTGGGTATTGGCTGACGAAGTTCAGTAGGAACAGCTAAGGCATTGGATAAGCACGTTACAATGATGAAGGGTCTTCAAAAACCACCATGATATGCATAAATACTTTATTGTGCTACAAAATAGAGGAAGAAATTTTAGAATTTTTTTTTAAAAATGCTTTCAGTGATTGTATTTTAAAAGTGTGAGCTCAAAGAATTGGGCAAGAAGTATTGGATCCTGGCTACTTTACTTCATTCTGGCTGCAAAAACAGCTTACCCTTTCCCTTGTGAGCCTCCACGGCAGTCCCTTCCAGAACAGTTAGCTCTCCCTACTGATGATTGATCAGACCTTTAATACTCAGGGTAAATGATGATGTATTTATGGAGCAATCTTAAGGGTTCTCTAACATTGTTCTTTATTTTCCAAGCTACTCAGGGACCAGGTAGCATTGTTTCCATTTTCCTCCCATTCTCTCAGTTAGGTCAGCCTTGTCAGAAGATTGAAATGAATGTATGTAATGAGAGTTATCTAATGCCTTGTAAGGGACTCTTCGGGACTTTTCTTGGAACTGTAAATCTACGTTCAGCTGTATAACAATTTTCTGTGGTTTTGTTTTTTGTTTGCTTCCTTTTGTAAAAGTGTTAGTTTTTTTATTCAAATCCAGTTTCATTATTAAGAAGTCATCTGAGTGAGTTTTGGCTAAAAAGCAATGAAAATCACATGTTAAATTTTACATGGAGTGCAGGTCATAGACAAATGGAATATACATTTCTTAGACCACAGGGAAAGTGATGTGAAAGACATCAGGCAGTACTATAAGCTCCCAATGTCCATGATAGGAAGCTCAGGCAAATACTTGTAAAGTATAATTTCAGTCATCATTAAGTTGAAGGGTCTTGTGGAGATCAGCATGTTGATCTCCTTGCCCTTAATGTTTTAACTCTTTAAAATACAAAAATGTAAATAAACTTTCCCTCAGTCAATGCCTAGAAGGAAGTCCTTTTAAAATCCTCTTGGGAAAATAGATATTACACTAGGCTATGTTAACGTGCAGAGTAGAATGTACATCCTAATGTGAAATTGAGGCTTGCTGCTGTGAAAATAATTGATTGCTGTCTCCCAGATGAAGATGATGAATGCTGCAAACTGCAGTACTAGCTAACACATTGGAACTAGATGGAATGCAGGAAATAACTATTTCTTCAAACATCTAAAAATGGGGAGGGCACATCTTAGATAACATTTCCTGTGATAGGGAGCTTGCTTGGAAACGAGAGTAGTTTAGCATGGGAGTTTTACATATTTTGTGCTGCAAGGACCTGTAGAACTAACACATCAGCTCCCACTGCTGCAGAAATCAACTGACATTAAAGCTATGCTTTTGCTAAAATTGGGAGATACATTTGGTATATTGTTGAAAATAGAAACACCAGACATGCAGGTGTTTATTTAAGGTGCCCAAGCACAGATATTTAGTAAAATTTTAGATGTATTCAATGGGTCTGATCTCTACCTTCCTCTAGAGAATGCAGGTGTCCGATAGGTTCTATTTACCAGTCATGTGAATAGGATGTCTGAAATGGCTCTGTAGTGAGGCTTTGGTAGAGCTTGCTTAGAACCTTGTTCTGTTTCAGTGATTTTAAACTGCAGCTCTTCCTATAGGTAACAACTACAGAGATGTTAAAAGGTGTCAACAGCAGTTATCTGCCAGCTCCTGTGGAAAGTTAGTGGGTGTTAAGGCCTTACTTTACTCCTATTTTTCCACATTTACTTCTGCATCTTTGTAATACACTACACTGGGTGTCTAAACAGAAACAGATGACATTTTCCCTGCTGATAAAGACTAGCAGTATTTGTTTTTCTCTTGGTCTTTTTTCCAGCCTCTTGGTATTTTGGGGGTAACTCTTTGGACACACCCTGTTGATACTTGTAGAATGGCCAAACATATGCCTGCACCCAAAAGATTTTCTACTTTTGTCATTTCCGACACATTGGTAGTCTAGCACTCTTGCTTTTTTGTCTTTTATGCATTAAATTTTATTATAGCTTGCTTTGGGGAAGAGTTAAATCTCTTTTGCTGGGAAGAGTTATGGCCAATTACAGAGAAACACAACTTGAACCATGTCCTTGACATGGTTAAACAGGAATTAGCAGAACACCAATTTTTCTTTTTTTCCTCTAAGGGCACTATTGTGAGTTTACAAATTCAATAGCTATGAAAACATGAGGTGTGCAAGGAAAAGTGGAAAGTCTAGGTTTCTTCCTTCAAAATGATGAATTTTCTTGGAATCACCACTGATCAAACATTTCAATTATCAGAAGAAAGATTACATTAGTAGGTAAAGTCCTACAAAAAGAAAATCCCATGTTGATAAAGCCTGTATTTTAGCCCATTTATAATCTGTGGTGCAAAAGTTTGTGTCTTCACAGTATATGAGGATGTGGACCTCTGCACAAGAGTAGCTGGTTAGAACTTATCCTTTTAGTGAGGCAAACTGTTAAACAAATACAGGAGGGGTTTAATTCTTTTACCATTTACAATATAGATGTCATAGGGTGTATAATAGGTATATATATTATGAAGCTAGGAAAAATCCCAAGGTGATGTTTTAAATTAAATACAATGAACACATGAAGAGGTCTTTATTTCCTATGTAATGTTTTATGGGTTTATTTATAATTTATTCCTTACCTTTTTTTATTGTTTTCCTTATTTTACACTGAAACCCACTATTAGTAGATTCAAAAAGTGATAATTATTTATTTTCTTTTTGAGATTGACAGCTTCTTTCAGTCTGTCTTTGTGAATTGAGTTTATCTAATTGCATCCTGTATATCACAGGAGAATGTATATGTAGGAAACTATATGTTTCAGTGTCATTCAGAGATGAATATCTGACAGAATCAGTGAGAATAATTTGATATCTTTGAACTGCCTTATGGAAAGGACATTGTTAGACTTCCTATGGGAATGAAAAAAAATTTGTGAGCAAGTTCAGGAAAAGATACCATTAACTGATAAGAAGGTTTAGTTCTAGAAGCCGGGTATTATATTTTCCATCATATTTCATCAATTTTTCAAAAGACTCAAAACCTCTCTTTTATGACACTTAGAAGATATCTCGGTAAGCACTGCAAGCTTACTTGCAGTAAGTAAGTAAGCACTTCTTGCTATAGAAATGCAAAAAGCCTGTGATAACTGAAATGTGTTGATACAAATCCTGAATTAAATTTAGTTAAAATGCATTAAACTTTACATATTAACATGGATTAGGTGGGGAAAAAAAGTCAATTTTTTCAAACCATAAAGGTTTTACACATTGGCCCATAGTACTTCTTTCAAATACTCCAGGATCTTTTTCAGATTAATTAGTATTACTTAATTTGTCTTCCACAGCAATATACTATTCTTTAGAGTTGTCGGTGTATGTATGCTTCTGTACAGACCTGAGGGCTGTATGATATATGTATGTATATTGCATACATAAATTCAGTCTGTATTAAGGCCTTTATAGTGGAGGCCGAAAATATTTTGCAAAAGCTTTGCAAATGATGCTTTTTGCCTGTGGCTCTTTCTTAAGGCAAGGGAAGACTTTCTCAGCCATACCTGTGTTTTCCTTCTGCGCTACAGGCAGGTTTTTTTCTTTCAACTGAAAACAGTTCGCCATAAAATTTTTGAAAACAGCTCTTCTGAGAAGAGTGACATGCTCATGCAGTCACGGAGCAGACATATATGTTTGGTTTTGGAATTGCACTAATAATTTCTTGTTTTATTTAAGCATTTTCTTCTACAACTCTCAGTTCCAGTGGGTCTTCCAAATAAGGAGGCCTAAATTGAATAGGTGCAAGTAAAACTATCAAAAATAAGAGCAACTTCCTTGCTTTCACTGTTCAAGAAGAATGCTGTTTATTTTTTTTAAGTGTTCAATTACACTAACGTATCATCTTTCTGAAACTAATTTTTAAAATACACTAGAATAAAGAAAATTTTGTATGTCTGTGCAAGTGCTTTACCACTTACAGAAAAGCAAGGGGGAAAGTTGTGCTGTGAGTTAACTGTTAAATGTTATTTTAGCCCACATAAGAAAGTCACAGGGATTGCCCAGAGTAGTGTCTCTTTCTAATTATGCCAGGCATGTAGTTGAAAAGCTCTGTGTCATGATTTTTTTTTTTTATCTTTATGTATAATATTTGTAAAGGGCAAGTATTAGCATTTTAAGCAGTCAGCTAATTTGCCTTCCTTCACAGGAGAAAAATTAGGACAGTGACTGATGGCTAAGAGTTCGGATTATTGCACCATTCCTTGCACTCATTAATTTTACTATATACAGTGGCTGACATTGCAGCTGAGAATTTTTAAGAAAAAAGAATAACCTGAGACAAATGTTGTACATGATGTTCTCTAAACTTTCTCACATAGTCCTTGGTTTGGTACAGGGGTGAATATGCCAGCTGTCTTTTTGTGTAATACCAGTAGATATCTCTGCTTAAACAGGTCAAGACAGAGAGGTACGTAGATCATGGGCTGAGGAGGAATATGTCTAAAGCAGTGTTATATGTGGTGGTTAATTCAGTAAGTGGATCTGTTCCCTCCCATGTGTAGTTGCAAGTTGTTGTAACATGGTTCTTAATAATCCATTTGTTTCTGGTCAAACAAAGGTCCTGATCATTTTATGGAGCTTTTGCAAAAATGGGATGCTTCACACAGTTGAATGAGGATGCTCAGTTCTGCCTGAGTGGTTCAGGCTGTGTCGTATGTAAGAGTTGACTCTTTACAGTTCAGGTCTTGCTACACGTAGATTCTCTGGTCTTCAAAATGGAGTTCCTAATGTTGTGCTTATACTTAAGGAGTGCTGAGAGTAGTGGGCACCTCTGAAAAGGTATCCAGTCTTGTGAGTGCTCCTCAGGAACCTGCCTAGAGTTAACCAGGAAGAAACATCAGCACACGGCTGCTTCTGTTTTCTCCCTGCGTTCTGGGCTGAGGGATTTGAGTTGTAGCTGCAAGCTACCCACGGCCCAGAGGATAAGGGTCACACCAGGAATGTCTGAAAGAGCTGCCATAACTGCTTTCTGACAGCTGTGGAGTTGAGTAGTAACTTGAGCATTTGCCTGGGAACGGGAAACCGGGTTCAGTGCACTCTCAGCCTGGATTCAGCTTCTGTCACCTTCCTGCCAGGAGAGTACCCAACCACAGGCTGGTTTACACAGTGAACCCTTCATCTCTTGAAGATGATGGGTTGATGATGAAGATGATGGATTGATTGAGGAATTCAACATGCATGAGGCCTTATGGAAAGCAGTGATAAAAGAGCTGTCCTCTAGTAACCTAGAGGTTAGGTCATTTTATAGGACTGCAGAGTCCTGCTTTTTTTTTGCTTTAGCTGAAGGCATTAGTTCTGGTTTTTTTTTCATCCATCAGTAATCAATAAGCAGATGTAGTGGTGGGGATCAGAAGCTGGCACCTTCCTAAGCACACATGTGCACATTAGCCATCTTCCTGCCTGCTTTCCTTGTGACCCAACACATTGCGCAGTGCATGGGTCAGTGGCGGCTGCACGCACTTTCACACCTCAGACTACCGGGGGCAACACTTTGCTGACCTTCGGGGTTTTTAGGTTGACAAAAAGCAAATGCCCTGTTGGTTTGGTTGAGATGCTTCTGCACAGCCGCAGTGCCACGGGCAAAGATGAACTCCCAGGCAAGTCCTGATGGAAACCTACGGAGGCACTTGCAGAAGTAGGCAGTCACTGGATACAGGCTATTTGTTTCCCAGTTTTGGGTTTCAGTACCACTGGTTTTAGATTCACTGATGGCCTTTTGCATCTTGCCATACTGTCTTTGTTTATATTTTACTTCAGTGGGAAGATGTAGTGGAACAGCTGAATAAATAATAACCACAAAACAAACATTTAAGAAGAGCAGGCAAGCATTTTCTCTAAAACAAGAATATACTTAAATGGTGTGTACAAATCAACTTGTCTATATGATTTGTCTTGTATTATACAGATAACTAGACAATGAAAACAAGGGAATACTAGATAAAAACAAGATTAGTGCTATATTTCAGTGAGTGAATGAAGTAATCAACAAATAAAATCTCACAATAAATCTCCCTTCTGTAAAAACAGAGGAAATACTTGAATAGAAAAAAGTGTTTACAGAAAGATTAATCCATGAACAGTACCTGGATGGCAAAAGTATTTCCAAGGAGTAATTTTCCAGCTAGATAAACTCAATTTTTAGGAAATAATTATGTTAATGAACAAAGGAACTGAGTAGATGAATATATTTAGATAACACAGCATATAATCATCATTAAAATTTTCATAGAGGAAGTGATTCAAGTACATTTCTATGAGAACATAATTTCTCAATTATGGAAAAGATTAAAAACAAAACCAAAATGAAAACAGATAACACCCATTCCATTTATCAAGTTGTAAATAGGTGTTTAATGTGTTAGCACAAGTGTAAGAATTGGGGCTCTTCCCATTCAACATTGTCTTAAGTATAAGAAAAAGAATCAAGAAAAAGTAGCATGTTAATGAATTTCTTGCATAATTTTGAGGGAATTCAGGACTGAAAATAGCACCGAAGAGCTGTGTTTAGAAAATGAAATAGAGGAAAGGCAAATCATTTAATGTAGACACCAGTAGTCTAAATTGCTCATACTCAGTAGGAGTGAGAAATCTGGAAAAGTGAAAATTCTGAAAGAAATATGAAAGTACTGCTTGTCTGTAAAGTAGAATTCATATGTAGAACAACACAATTTCAGGATAAGTCTGTTGTGACATTGACTTGCAGAAGGGATCCTGTGACACGGCAGGGTACACTAGAGCATGATTTCACATTATTATGGATACAGGTATTGCTGTGCTAGGTTTTTATTGGATGACAGTTCAACAAATACTTAGAATTTCTCTTTTAGGTAGTATATTCCACACAGTGGTGTTTTTCTCCATCAGTGATATGACATACTGACTTTCAGAATATTGTTTATTCTTCAAATATTTGCTTTAGGATATTATGATTATGAAGTAAAAGCTTCTGCTATTCAGAAATGTCAGTTAAAGCAAGTAAAAGCTACTGCTTATTGGAAATACTGTTTTGGACTGAAGATACATTTTATGTCTGGATTAAAATTAAATGATTCTAGGAGAAGCTCCTACTCATAAAACTTTTCCTTTTTTTCCAGATTCTCGGTATATTCTTCTTCCGGTAGTTTTACATCATCTCCACATGCATTTACAAGAGCAGAAGGACCTTATAATGTGTGCACGTATCCTTAGTAACATATTTTGCCTCATCAAGAAGAACAGCTCAGTAAGTAAAAACTATGTCACATCCACAAGGTGTTGAACTACTTTATATTGCTTAATGACATTTAAAGACACAAACTGGACCTTGACCAAGACAATTTTAAACAGTTCTCTGTGGAATGATTCTGCATAAACATGTAACTTTGATTTCTCATGAGCTTTTTCTTCCCATGCAAGAATATCTTAATTGTAGTGGGTAGTGTTCTGCCAAGTTTCAACTCTTTCTGAATGTTCTGTTTTACAAGAAGACATGTCTGCTGTCTTTTAGAAGCTTTTTCTATGGTGGGCTATTTAGTCATAGGTGACACAGAGGTGATACAGGTAAATAGAATCATAGAATGGGCTCGGTTGGAAAGGACCTTAAAGATCATCCATCTAGTTCCAACCCCCCTGCCATGGGCAGGGACACCTTCCACTAGACCAGGTTGCTCAAAGCCTCATCCAGCCTGGCCTTGAACAGTTCCAGGGATGGGGCATCCACAGCTTCTCTGGACAACCTGTTCCAGTGCTTCACCACTCCCTCTGTGAAGAATCTTTTCCCGATATCTAGTCTAAATCTCCCTGCTTTCAATTTAAACCCGTTACCCCTTGCGTTACAGTCCCCTGTAACAGCCTCCCCCCAGCTTCCTTGTAGGCTCCTTCAGGTACTGGAAGGTGCTATAAGGTCTCCCTGGAGCCTTCTCTTCTCCAGGCTGAACAAGCCCAACTTTCTCAGCCTGTCCCCATAGGAGAGGTGCTCCAGCCCTCTGATCATCTTCGTGGCCTCCTCTGGACTCGCTCCTACTGATCTATATCTTTCTTATGTTGAGGGCTCCACAGCTGGATGCAGTATTCCAAGTGGGGTCACGTGAGAGCAGAGTAGTAGGACAGAATCCCCTCCCTCAACCTGCTGGTCACACTTCTCTGGATACAGCCCAGGATACGGTTGGCTTTCTGGGCTGCCAGCGCACACTGCCGGCTCATGTTCAGCTTTCCATCCCCCAGTACCCCCAAGTCCTTCTCCTCGGAGCTGCTCTCTATCCACTCTCCACCCAGCCTGTACTTGTGCTTGGGATTGCCCCAACCCATGTGCAGGATCTTGCACTTGGCCTTGTTGAACTCCATGAGGTTGGCATTGGCCCACCTCTCCAGCCTGTCCAGGTCCCTTTGGATGGCATCCCTTCCTTCCGGCATGTCACCACACCACACAGCTTGGTGTCATCCACAGACTTACTGAGGGTGCACTCGATGCCATCATCCATGTCACTAACAAAGATGTTAAACAGTACTGCTCCTAACACTGACCCCTGAAGAACACCACTCGTCACCAATCTCCACTTAGACACTGAGCCATTGACCACCACTCTCTGAGTGTGACCATCCAGGCAGTTCTTTATCCATCGAGCAGTCCATCTGTCAAATCCATGTCTCTGCAGTTTAGAGACAAGGATGTTATGTGGGATGGTATCAAAGGCTTTGCACAAGTCGAGGTAGATGACATCAGTTGCCCGTCCTCTATCCACCAGGGTCGTGACCCCATCGTAGAAGGCCACCATGTTCGTCAGGCACGATCTGCCCTTGGTGAAGCCATGCTGGCTGTCACCAATCACCTCCTCATTCTCCATGTACCTTTGCATGGTTTCCAGGAGGATATACTCTGATCTTGCCAGGCACAGGTGAGACTGACTCTTGATAGGTTGATATGAGTATTGCAAGGGAGGTTGCACTTGGTTATTTGTTGATAAACTTTGTGGCAAATTTCTGATGTTTGTGTTTGCAAATTCATCTGTGAAAGTGGTGCATGAGACCTAACTTGGATGGGTGTATTGCAGATAAGAAGATGATAAATTCTGAGATGCAAAGGAATACAAGACAACTAAAAGCAAATATCGCCTGTAGTTAGTGCAGTACATCCATATCGAGCCCAGTTTCATTACGCTGTAAAGCATTAGGGAGAACAGTTTTATGTATTTCTTCATTTCATAGCATTATCAGAATTAAAGTTGCTTCATCAGTGATTTGATACAGATGCAGCTTGCAACTTTGGCACTGTAACTGCATTTTCATTGCAGCTGCTCCTGGATTAGTATAATAAATACCTCATCAGAAGATCAAGTGCTCGCCCTGGTTTTGGATTGGGTGAAAGCCTTACATGTCTGGTCTTAATTTCAGGAGATCTTTCATTTGGAATCACCAGGTTCTGATCATGAACTCCAGAGATGTACACAATAGCAAGCGGATGTCTACATAAAACTCTCTCCACTGTTCAGGATATGCAGAAAGTACTTTTAGTGGTCTATGAGTCACTGAGAGTATTAACAGCTTGGTGACTCTATGTGATTTTTGTGGATCAGTTCAGAACTTCATTCCTTCCATGGTGACCAAGATAAATTTCAAAGCTGCCTGACTTCAAAATCACTTGTTCCATCAACCTCTGAATTCAGGTTGTTGGCCATAACAACAGTAGTTTGTACACGAGTCCTTATGTGTTTATATAGTTACAAAATACACTGTATGCTGTCTGCCTTCCTAAGTAGCGAAGTTAACTGTTGTTAGATACCAGATGAAGTGACAGAGAACATGACTGTGACACTAGACGTACCTTGAGTCCAATTGAGAATTTGGAGTTTTGTTACATATCATATGCTTTGAGTGTGTGGGAAGAAAAAAAATATCACTCCTACACCTCAGTGTCAGCTAAGTTGAATGATTCTGTTTGTCAGCTGAGTTTTAGTTTGGTTGTGAGCCTTTGATTATGGAGTGTTTCTTCCTGTGAAGAAGTGTCAGTGTTAAATTGTGGATAAAATCACTCAGATTAAGATGGTGATGACAGAAAGTATTGTTGGAGCAGAGAAAACATATTTCTATCTGAATTAAAAAAGAAAAGTAACTATAACTTGACTTCATCAAGTGTTTTCATGCATGTGATTAAGGTATTCATGGTCTCTTCTGGCAGTGAACACTTTGGTTCCTTCGCATTGACTGATGTTGTGTACAAGCAGTTGTAGGCTTACCTACATGGCTAGTTTCTTTGTCCTACTCTGTTGATGGAAAGCAGTGTAGCTGGTCCTTACTGCTGAAGCAGGTCTTGAAGATTGACCGCCATCTGCTTGTTTCTGGTGATAGTTTCACAGTGTGAAAACAGAATTCTACTTATTGAATTTTAAGCCTTTCTTGGCAATTTCCCCAGAAAATATATGGGTGTTACCTGTAAAATTCTTGCCTGAAAAGTTCTTGTATATTATTTACTGCTTTATTCTAAGCATTAATTGAAAATTGAACTATGCTGATTTGATAAACATATTAAATCATCCCTATAACTGTCTTCTATATTTCAGTCCAATGTAATTATTTGGAAACTGTTACATAAAAACAATAGAATTAAACAATATCTTAATTAAATAGTCCTTGTTTCTTGAATGTAACATTCATAAGAAAACCATCCTTTGTTTCTAAAACCATATCAAAGAAGATAGACCTGTTGTCACATTTCTGGTTTAAAATGTTTTATTTATTACTTAAGGAAAAATCTGTCCTGGAAGAAATTGATGTGATTGTAAACAGCCTGCTAGATATTCTGTTAAGGACCATACTAGAAATCACCAGTCGACCACAACCATCAGGCTCTGCTCTGCGCCTCCAGTTTCAAGATGTGACTGTAAGTTTCTTATCATGAAATAGCTCACAGTTGTCACTGATTAGACTACTAGATTCATGACAATATTGTCTTTATATTGTAATTCACCATGTCAAGATTTTGTGTATAAACCAGAATGAGAACAAAGACGACTTTTCTTGCATTTATGAATTTTCAGTGCAAATAGTAAATGTTTTTTTGTACATTTATTTATAACTTGTCAGTGTAAAAAACAAAATACCAAAAAACAAACAGACCCACAAAACTGCAAAAGATAAAATTACTTTTGAGATTGTTTCAGGTCAGTAACTGTCATTAAGTTTCTCTTGTTTACAATTTTAAGCTTTCTAAAACTTTCATTAAGTTTGAATTCCTGTAAATCCAAGTGTACCAGTAACATTTTCCTTCGTAAAATGCATACATTTTTAAATGATGAGAGAGCTCTAAAAATGTCTGCAGTATCTTTGACAACCTGTACAAATACAAATTTATTGATTTGTATTCTGTTGTAATCTGGAGCTAAGCACTGTATTGCTTAGCCATTGAATGAAAGCCATTCTGCTGTTGACTGGGGTAAGAATTTGAGCTTCCTTTCTGTCACATGAAGTAGAGCATAGAGGATGGATTTAGAAGATGAACAAACGATACTTTGGTCAATGTGATATAGCAACACATGCACATTAGAATGTTAAAATGCAGGCATGTACAGGAAAGCCTATAATGAACAATGATGAGACAATTCGAAGTGTTCTGCTTTGTTTTCAGCAAGGTTACCGGTTTGCTTTTGAAGGGCAAATCAGTTCCAATATAGCAAGGGATATGACCCCAATATTAGGTGAGGGGCTAACACTTTGTGTAGAGAACATGCTATGCTGTGTGATTTACCATCTCATTATACACTTAATTAATTAGTTGCCCAATTTTTACACTGTAACGATTTTCATTAATGAATAGATGGTTGCTTTTCAAAACAGAATTTCCTCTGAGATCAAACATTTCAGAAGGCATTTAATAGCTGCAGAAGAAATGTGGTGTTGGGTTTTTTGTTTGTTTTACTTTATCCCACAGAGAACAAACATTTTATCAAGTGTTTTATGGAGCTGACCAAGTTCTGTAATAAAATAACACCATGCTTTAATCACTGTGATTCAGCAGGGCTATACATCAATGAGTATTTTGTGGTGTTTTTTTTTTTTTTTTTTTTTCTTAAAATTACAAGTGAACACTGTGTGGCATATCAGACCATTACAAGAAAATCTCACCTGAAGTAAGGGTTGTAGTATTAGACTGTTGATGTAGCAGAGTTCAGAGCCTATTGTCACATCATCAAAAAATTAGACTCTGAAAGTAATTTCAAGTTGCAGGATTTTATGCATCAGAAAAGCCATATCATTGTCACCACAGGCATCTCAAAGAATACTTAATGTGGAAGTGACTCACTGCACAGCATAAGGCAATTATATACATTTATGTAGAAACATCATGCAGTATGGGCTTATGGCAACACACGTAGCCAGATTCTTGGAACTATTTGTAGAGCAAGTATGATAAAGAAAGTACTCAATGTGAGTACAGCAGTAGAGTCTGTTCCAGTATGTTACCATTATTTCAAGCTGCACATATCATAAAATTTTCTTAGTGAGATGTATCATGGCAGCACGCTGGATAAAATTCTGCCATACTTTTTCAGCAGCTATAGTCTTCCTTGTGGGAGTAGTCCCAAATTCATCTCAGTGTGATAGGCCGACGTGTTACTGTTTACCTGCACAAAGTAGCAGCATAAAATCAGACAGCATCAGTCTGAGTGCTGTCAGGACTGCACCATTTCTTTCCTCTCAAGTGGTTTTGGTACTTTGGTACCATTTCAATTTACAGTGAAGAATTTAGTTAGATAGTAACCTGCAAGATGGATGTGATGCTTTAAACTGAGCAAAAAGTGACATGTGTTACTGTTACAGATGTTGCACTAACAAACATTGAATTTAATGCAGTGATGAAAATGAAACTTCTGCTTTAGGATGTCAGTGATTTAGACCTTTGGATTTCCTTAAGAAAAATATGTTTGCATATAAAGAGTTATCAGAAAGCAGTCCAATTAAAATAAACCTTTATTGATTTCAGATCTTGGAAGTTTAGTTCCTCAGAACCTAAATGAATTGCAGTGTAGTTGTGAGCTCCATGTATTTTAATAATTGTGCTTCTTAAATAAGACACAAAAAATTAATTCAGGATTCTACCTAATTGAATTGCATATAGTGCTTGTTTTGCCTTATTACACTAGAATTGGATCCTAAATGGTTTTTATCAAAGTTGCTATGTGTCTGGAGTTTGCTTTTGTGCATGATTTGCAAGTTAGTCTTTGGCAGGAATCTTACAATATACTTTTTTGTGTTGAGTTCAACAAATGCAGCTGAATGTTGATTGTTATTTTAAAAACCAGCCTGTATAGCTACCTACATCTGAATTACAAGCTCAGATTTAGAAGTCAGTTAACAATTAGCTGGAGCTGGTACCCTTTTAAAGCTAATCAGTCTGTCAGCTATAATAGTACAGCTTTCTATAGCAGATTGGGATTTTTTTTAATATATTACTACAAGTTGAAGTAAATGTGGGAACATAGAGGGAAGGTGAGTAGAGAGGACTGCCATAAGTACTTCAGCAAGAAGGGAAGTATTCAGAAGGTTCACACTTGAATGTTATCACTGAAGCTAACAATCAGGCAAGCTTACACCCTTATTTATTTACTCTTCTCATTTTGGCTAAGTAGCCACATATGAGTGGTATCAGATTTTCTAACTGGAGTAAAAGTCTTCACAAATTATGCCTGTTTAGATGAAACTACATTATACTAAATGGCATGATAAAATCTTGTTGAGGCTAGATATCATGAAATCGGAAATATTAAAAAAAAATTATAAAAGACCATAGTATTTTTGTTTGCTGAAGAGAGCCTGATAGGGTTGGAAATAGATTTTAAGATATTTACAAGATAGCAGCTGTAACTTTGATGGTTATGAACGTTAAGAGACTTTGTAACCTTAGGATATTGTTTCAAGAATGTTATGTTCACTGTAAAAAAACAATGGCTTTGCAGGGAGGTCGTTAATTTGGGATCATTACTTCAGTGGGCAAGACAATATTTTATCACTGTATTTCCAGTGAAAGCCATCACATCACACACCAGCAAATACTCAAGGTATAATCACAAGCCCTTGCAATCCAGAACAGCCATTCCTGTGAAAACATACTCCTTTTTTAATCTTACTTTCTGTTTTTAAAGAAAGACCAGGAAAAATCTTTCCAAAATTTGACTTGGTAAACTAATGAAAGACACTATTTTAAAGTACTGTTACCACACCTCATTCCCCATTCCTTGTAGATACAGGCCAGAATTGAAATTCCCGTTTTTTAACAAGCTTGTAAGATTTCAGACTTGTTCCTTTTAAGCACTGGGATGCAATCCATTTTTTTCTTTCCTGTCCTCATCCATTCTGCAGTAGGACCAGACTGATACCATTCAGTGTTTCTTCCCAGTTCAAAAGTGAACATGGAAACAGGAAAGGGAGAGAGAGGGAACCTATTCCTTCCCGTAATGTCTTGTCTATTTGATTGCTTGCTGGAGATACCCAGTGCTGTTCTCTGCTGCTTTGATCCTGAATCCCATGCTGTTTGAAGGACAGCCTGCTGAATGTGCATCAGTAGAGGCAGCAAG